GATGCTTGGCTTGTTCATCGCCCCGCGGCTGTAATATTCAGATTCAGCACCTGCAAGTACCGTTAGAGCGAGCTCGTCACCTGACTCGGGAGGAAATGATACATCCGGACATGCGCGCCACCCTGCAGGATTTGCATCGTGACTGCCGGAAATCGGTTGCATGTCTTGAATCATTACAGATGCATCGTGATGCCGAAGTTCGCTCAAGCTGCTTTAAGTCTTTAAGAGTCTCTGTGTGCACCGCGCAGCGTCGCCCTTGCCGGTGCGACCCACGGGCATCGTCCAGGTACACCGTGGGGAAAGCTAGGGAAGCAGTAGCGGAGCAGTGACAGATGCAAAGCGAGTACAGAAGCTTGAGCAAAGCTTGCCGCCGCAGACACTTGGCCGATCACGACATGGCCCAAGTCATTGGCAACCAGGCCTGCTTGGCCGCACGTCCCGCAGCTTCTGCCCAAAAAGCCTTCAGAAACTGCTCGCAAGGAGCCTCACCTCCAAGTAAACGAGGCGAGCGATGCGCTCCCAGAGACTGGACAGGCTTTCCTGGGATCTCCCGTGAAAGGAGCGGTTTTACTACAGAGGAAGGATCCCTCGATCCTTTTATACCCGAGCCTAAGGCCCTCATATGCCTCACACCCTTCGGGGCTACGCAAAGGACCCCGACCGCTTCTGTATCTTACTTAGTCACTTGCTCACGGAGATTCGCAGACTCACGTGATTCGCGTTTGCATCACGGAGGCGCCGGCCCCAGAGGCGCGGGCCCCATCGCCGCCCAACGATGCGGGGCTGGCCAGAGGGCGGGCGCCTTGTCTTCAAGCAAGGCGTTGATGTGTTACTGTATGTGAGTGCACACTGATGCCGGATTCAGTGTAGAGACTTTTCGCTTCGTCTTCACCTTCCAACTGCCGAATACTTCAGGTGCATAACATGCACCGTTAAGGGCATGAACTGTTGCAGACCATTCTTGGCCTACCCGTAGCTGGATCTCTCCTTCTGCTCATCTTTCACGTTCGAAGCTTATCTCTCCGTTCTTCGTCTTTCCCACGCGGCATCATGTACTGTACGTTCAGCCGTGTCTTCGCTTTCTCCTTCGCCTTTTCTGGGCCTCAGCGCCGCGTCAGGTACTGAGCTCCTCCCAGTCCTCCTTGCGCCAGACAAGGACAGCGTAGACCCGGTGCCCTCGGAAAAGGGGAAGACTGCTTGTGGGAATGTAATGTAACGGGAGGGAAAAGCCACTGCATACGGCTGCATGTTTTTGCAACATGCAGACTTCACAGCGCCAGCAGCGCAAGAAGGACCGTGAACATTGAAGCCTTTTCCCTCCACCTTCTTTGCGATTCTAGGACGGTCAGCTTCCCCGACGTGGAGTCGGCAGACTCTTCGCAGGCCGCTTGCTGCCCGAGGGCCATCGATGCAGGGACGGGTAAGACTGGGTCCCATTCGAAGCAACCCCCGAGAGGAGCACACGCAAGGCGTTCAGTCTCAGCCCCGAGCTCGGCTGAGCCAAGCCACCGGAATTTCGAGGCTCCTGTTTCCTTCAAGCTCCTTGAGGCTGCATTTTCTCTAAGGTTCACCAATGCAAGCAGGCTGTCCAGAAGGTGGGGGGGCCCAGTGCTGGCTGCGAGGATGCGTGTCCGCTGCCTGCCGTTTCGGGGGGCCCGCAGGTTCCAGCGTGCCAGCGGCAGGCGCTGCTTCGAATACGTGAATAAGATAACAATAAAAACAACCGTAATAGTGATAATATGAATAATAATGATAGTAATAATAGTAATAATAACAACAATGATACTGATAATGATAAATATACATGTAGTACGAACCCCAGATGGCCCAGACCAGCGTCCTCAACCTTCCTGCGGGAGGTCGATGTGGCGATTTCCGACCAGCACGGGGCAGGTACCACGTTACATGCAGAGGACGGGAGCTTCGGAAACTCTGAGGGGGTCATGACGTAGCTCTGGGTCCTTACAGGGTTTAGGGTGTAGGGTTGCTACGGTTGGTGATATATATATATATATATCCTGCATTACCCATAATCAGAAGGAATATACTATATTTCCCATAGTTTGGGGTCCTTAGGATATTGCAGGACTTACATCATCAACCGTATTTCTGCTACTGCCAGGGCCTTCCGAGTGAAGACCTTCGGCCTCCTCTCTTTGCAGCTCCTGGTCGCCCTGGCCATCGGGGCGCGCGGGGAAAGAGCCCCCACCTTTTTGTTCGGCTTCTTCGGGGTCTTAGGCGTCTTAGGCTTCGGTTTAGAGCTCAGGGAGTTTGATGTTTTCGGGTGTGGCTTTAGGTGGAGTTTAGGGTTTTGGGAAGAAGAGTGTAGTAGTGTTTAGCAGCGTAGCTAAAGTATCAGTGGTAGTGTATAGCAGTGGTCCGTACTCGTAGTAGTAATGGCAAGTGTCGAAGTCCCTATGGCTTTTAGTGTTTGTTGGGCAACAGAGGTTTCTGGCCAGGGCGAGCAGGAATCTACAAGAGTTGTGTAAGGCTTTGTAAATTGGGCAGCTCCCCCTCCAAGATGAGATTTTAGACAGATAAGGAACCCTTTTTGAAAAGCCTGTGTGTCGCTCCACCATTGCTGTCGCTTCGGCTTGCTTCAGCTGTGCAACCTTGTCACGTGTTTCTGATTGAGGTGTGCGAGTCGTTTGTATGTCGGTTGCTCTTGCCTTGTTGCGGCACTGCACAGCACTCCTGTACGTAGTCCCGCCTTCTTGAAACGTTTGAAACATGCGGGATGGGCTGAAGGCGATGTGCAGAAAGAATAAGGTCGAGAGTATCAGAGACGTAGCTGCCTCCGACATTCTGTTGGCGGTATCCTCTGATTCTGAAGCCTGCCTGATGGTCTTTTGGCAGTAGCCCCATTATACCTGGAAGAAGTCTCGAAGAGGTTGTGGCCGCCTTTGGGCGTTCGCCTTGTGGAGTCAGCATGCCCCTTAGGGCCTTAGGGCTCGGACCCTGCAGCCAAGCTTCTGCAGGCAACGATGAGCTACCTCGAACTCTGGAGAGAGTTTGAGGTCCCAGCCAGCCCGGCAGTCACGGAGGCGGGGCATGGGAGAAAGCAGGGAGAACTGGTGCATGGCACAAGCCTGTGACAAGGTCATAACCTATGTAACTGGTGCCGTCAACTTGCTTTGCGTGCTGCTTCTTCACTTCCTGGCGGACGCTGGGGCTGCAACCGGGGGTCGAGGCCACACACATGACTTTGACGATGCTGCCATGGTATGGTGATCATGAAACAGCAAGGGTATGGGCCTGCAGGCCATACTAGTAGTCACTGCATGTTCCCTGCTGTTGCTGGCAGCATTCCCCGAGGACAGATTTCCGGCAAACTACTTGCCCCCTAGCTGTGACATGAATATGAGCCGATGCTGGAGCCAAGTTGAGGCTGCTGTGTACCCCAGGTGCTTGCTGCTGACGACGCTGGTCTCAGGGTTCTTTTGGGGATTGAAACTTGGCGCAGGCATCACCACAGTGCGGGAGGGTTGCGTCTTTGTCGCGAATCGAGCTCCAGGGCAGTCGTGTTCCTTCGATCCAAGGACACACCTCGCGCCCCAATTTGGAGATGAGATAGTGCATGTACAGACGCTTGGCAGAGAGAAGGCCCTGTCAATCCCTTGCCAGGTGGCAATGGAATATGGCTCGTTTCCGCTTCGGCGTATAGGGATCGGTTTGCCTGTTCTGCCATCTTACAGCTGTGGCATTCTCTGAGCCCAAGTCTCCATTCCCCTTAGAAGGTAAATCAAAAGGCTGCCGTTTTGGAGGTCCCTGTAAAAGGAGCCATGACCACTTCTGTAAGCCAGTACCTAGGCCCAAGAGCCTTGATGGAGAAGACCCACAAGTGCTGCTTCCACCCCCTTCAAACCCCAAGAGAGCATACGATGGGAGCCTAAATAATTACCAATACTATTTTGGGGGGTCCTTATTATGAATATACCCCCAAACCCTATTCTAATTATAATGGCCCCTACAGTAGGCTTTAGGTGTGTAAGGTGAACTCTAAACCCTATTCTAGTACTTATGGCCCCTACATCAAGCCCTGAGGATTGGTTTGGTCCTATGCATCACCATGATGGTTGCAGCGGCTCCTCGCCAGCAAAGCAAAACTACCGACCTGAAGACGTGGAACGACGGTTTAGGGTTTATAGGGTTCCCGTTTTGGTTTTAGGGTTTATAGGGTTCCTTTTTGGTTTTAGGGTTTATAGGGTTCCTTTTGGGTTTAGGGTTTATAGGGTTCCTTTTGGGTTTAGGGTTTATAGGGTTCCTTTTCGGGTTTAGGGTTTATAGGGTTCCTTCTGAGGTTTAGGATGCTTCGACTTCGAATGGTTCGATCCAAGATCGATCTTTGATCAGACGGTGATGTTTTGACCACGATCTTGAGGGGCCTGCTGAAGAAGCGGCCAGGTGCTGTCGTACATCCTGGACAGCCGAGAAGAAAAGATTACTGGATCCAGCTTGATCGCCATCTCCCTGGGCTCTGGCTACGTTTTGGGCTCCCTAACCAACGCGGCATTCTCAGACTTGGGCTTAGGGTTTCAGGTTAAGGGTTTAAGGTAAGTTTTGGAGTTTGACTGAGACTGACAGATTTGTCAGAGTCTACAGCAGAAGCGTCGAAGCCTGCACTAGTTACTAGTCGTTGTGTGGATGTAAGCCATGCCACAGCATGATGGTGGCATGTGCACTTGTGAACTTCATTGCGAAGGGCAGTTGAAGTCGCCACCATGTACCAGAGATGAGATGGCCCAGGATGTCCATTAGTGCTCTTGTAAATTGGCCCCAGCCCAAAAGGGAAGCTACACAGCTCGATTCTGAAAGCTACCTTCACCCAGAGAGCCCAATACCCCTTAAAGCCTTACTTAAGGAATATACCTAAAATCATGATATTAAGGCCCCTATAATTTAAGGTATATTCCGTAATTAAGGGGTAGTGGGCTCTCTGGGCAGCGCACGAAGAGAAGACCCAGGTGTTCCTGTTCACCCTGGTCTTGGAAGCAACGCCCTTCCAGATCTTCGGGGGCATAGGCGCCCTGTGGTTTAGGGTTTAGGGTTTAGGCTGTGACTCGCAGGTTCTACCGGGCACTTAGGGTTTGGGGCCTTTTAGGCCTTGAACTCACAGACAAACAACACAAACATGCACAAACTAAGCCGAACGACCAGACCTGGTACCTTTGTGACATGTCCCCGGCAATGGCTGTCAACCCAGCAGGCTTTGCGCTATTGCTGCTGGGGATTCTTCTGCTGGATGTCGGTGCCCTGTCAAGACACGCATAACATAAGTGATACTACTTCATGTATCTGTCTATAATGGTGTATGTGCATATTTATATATATATATATATGTCACATACATCTGCTTTGATTTACTTATACCAAAGAACAAGCGTGTACGTACAAATACTTGTTACAAGTTTCACCCGTTCTGTCAGTATGTGAATCAACGCATTGGTCCAAGGCGGCTTGCTGATAAGCTGCCAGCCCGACGACTTCATGTGGCTCGCCGAATACACGAAATATGCCAGAGAGACGGGGCCGGCTGACCGAACTTGCCTTTGCGTGCCGGCAAGGACGGTTATTGTGGCGATGAACTCGACACTCTTGGTTATCGCGCGGCGCTCGGTGGTGCCATTAGCCATGAATTCATCAGAAATCGCCATCAGAGATCGGGCTGCTGGCGGCATAGACAAGGCTTAGAGCCCTCTTCCGCTCAGCCGGGAAGGGCAAACCCGGCTACAATTCGATGCTCGGAATCCTCACCCCCCCCCAACAAGAGTTGCATCCAAAAGGTTAGCATCCCGTTCTTTTTCCTCGGGTTCTGCATCCTGCGACTGGGGGAGGCCCCGAAATCCAGCCGGGGTTGGTTCCCAAAGCAGAGTTGTTCGAGCCGGTCACCGGGGTCTGAGACTGTCTGCCCCGAGGAGCCTTGAGGCAAGGCGGATGGATGTGGGAGTTTTAGAAAGGACACCCTAGGACAAAACTGAAACGGCAGGATTTGTAGCATGAGGACTTTGAAGAAGCCTCGCAATGCGCACCGAAGATTCCCGAACGTTGCATCAGCTCAGCGTGCCAGAGATTGACTTCGGTACTGCAGAAGCCTGAGCAATGACGAGTAGGATCCCCTCATCTATGAAAGCATGCCATGATACCCCCTAACGGCCCTAACGCGTAACGCCCCGACTCTGAGTTTCAAGGCCCCCTGTCTCATCATAGCACCCTTATAGACCCCTTAACGGAACCCTACGAAGGCTCCCAAACCATTATAGAACCCTTGAGTGGGCCCCTGAAGGACACAAAGGCCCCAGGATGCCAAATTTCTGCATCTCTTAGAGGAACCCTCTTGAAATGGTTCCGAAGGCCCCCCGAAGTAACGCAGCAAATGGGTAGTTCTCTAAACTCGGGTACGGCACCCTTACCAAAAAAATAATAAAGAGTCCAAAAAAGGGACCATAACTTGGAGAACTACCCATATGCAGGTCGAGGAGCCCCAGGCAGCGGACTTGGCAGAAGCAGGTGCCAGGAGGCTGGGGCCCGGAAATTCCCTCAGAGGCTCAAGGGGCGGTTTAGGCTTTACAAGTACCGTTTAGGGGCTCTAGTGGCTTATGGTTTAGAGGGTTTGGGGTTCAAGTTTTGTGCGTTGGTTTGCTATTGTTATTGTTGTTAAGGTTCAGTGGTTTAGGGTTGCGAGGGTTTGGGATTCAAGTTCTTGTGTTGTGGTGTTTTATTGTTCGTGTAGTGGCGCAAACTGTCACTGCTCCATGTCGTGGCCAGGCCACAGACGAATTGAGCCAAGCCAAGATGGAGATCGGCGTTTCGTTGCAAGAAATTAGTTGCCCTTGCAGCAGAAATAGGGCATGCCACCTGCCTGAATTTGGTATATGGCATATATGGGGTCAGGGCATCTCCGCTGGAGCTCCCGTGCCTTGTAATGTCATTACTCAAGAACGCTTCAGGCTTTAGTCGACAATACCAGACAGAGCACCCTCCAAATCCTCGATTCTGTTGCAATCGGACGCATTTGGTGCAGGGATCGACGCACGGTCAATGGTCTAGTCAGAATGCCCAAGACTGTTCAACGCAATATTGGAGCCTCTTTCCGAGCTGCAGTCAGCAAGTTTGGCTGTTGCCGCATGCGAACTGCCAAGTTGTCCTTGAAGCTCATCTTCCACTTTCTGTGAAGATCCTATAGGGCTCCGTAAAGCCTCAATGTCAAACCTATTTCTGGTAGCAGACGGAGTTCTGGTAACTCCCCACTTCGAGGTGAAGTTCGTGGCGCTCGCCTGTGAGGCGTCGGCACTCCCAGCTCTTTCAATGCGGTGCTGCATGATGTACACATGCCCGAACATGGTGGTTCGGCAATGTCAGTACATGTACAAGACAAGAGAGTTCCTCATGATAAGCCCAAGCCACCTAGAGTGTCTAGCCACTGGCATTGCTGAACAACCACGTGTCAGCGGGTGTTTTCCCTTTGAACTCGCTCCTGTCCTGTCCCAAAGACTTTTGCTTCAGATCTCACAAGTTTTGGTCTCTTGTTTTGCGGATGGGGAATCTGTTGGGCGCATGGCCACCATGCCAGTCATAGGTGCAGATGCCCTATGCAGAACCCTGCTGGCATTGCATGAATTTATCGCAAGTGCTGCCATTTTTCAGGCTGCTTCCCTACGAGCCACCCTCTAAGATTCAGGCCGTCAGCGACCACTGGGCCACATGAAACACTAGACTCCAAGCGCCCTACACTCCAATGATCCTATTAAGCCAAAAACCCTCAACCCATCCTCAGGATCTTCTTGCAACCCAGGAAGTTTAACGACCGGCCTTTGCCTCACTGTGGATTCAAAAGCTCAGACATCCGAAGAAGGGAATCTGGCTCGAGAAATGGGCCGAAATTTACATACTTTTGCCGTACTACAGTACTTCAGACCGTTATAGACCATTCACTTTATGGTACCTGTTGTAGACTGTATGTTTGACCCTTTTATTTTACATGTATATGTGCGTAGCTATGTATACTAAACTTACACAAACATAAGAGAGCCTGTGTGTGTGTATATGCGTGTATGTGTATATACCACATGGACATGCTTGACATGTTACATGTTACGGGGCTTTATGCGATGTTATGTATATATAGAGAGACATGCACTGTATAGATTGTATTCGTACACATAGTATACATATACCATGCATATGAGCTTCATAGTGCATGTTGCAGGGTGTATGTTGTAAACTGCAACGCATATATCATTGCAGGAGTTATACCATTACATGATAGTGTGCTCTGTGACAATCTGCAGTATTGGATTCTGCCATATTCGAGTGTGGGACTTAAAATGATTGGTCAGATAAGACCATGTAAGCAACTTTTATTGCCGGACATAATGTTTGGTTAGTATGCGTTAAACTAGGTTAATAAGAAGCGAGATTAGACCATACTTTCAACTATAACATGTAGTTTGTTTTGATGTCTTAGTTTATTGGATTAGGCCGTGTTAGTTGTTTTGGATCAAAAGATCAAAAGATTATCAGTTTGTACTACGCTTCAGTCTTGTACCATACTATATGTTTATGTTCTATAGTATCCTACATTATACTGTCGTTTACTGGGTTGTGTTGTAATTCCCCCCCCCCCCCCACTTCTGTGTATACCACCGGCGTGTGTCTAGAACCTCAAGTGCACCGGCACTGGTGACAGCCATTGAACATGTTTCCTTGTACTGTTCGCAAAAGGCCCATGCCCCGTCCATTCCCTTCAGTTTCATAGTCAAACAGTACGCGATACATTTGTTATTGCTTCTGCTACAACCCATGCCCAGGTAATATCAGGCTAATACGTGCAGTTGAATGTTTCATGTTGTTCTGCTTTACTGCTGAAGCCACGAAGAAGGCAGTATTCAGATAAGGTTCATGAAAGCTGACGTGCATGGTGCAGTAGGCGGCTCATTTTCATTGAGAAGGGAACGGGCAGCCAAAAACACGTACATGGGTGTACCAGTCGAACATTTGATGTTCACATACACACGACTTACACAATATTCACTACCATATGCTTCAGACCTACATGACAGTAAAAGACTGTTCAGTGGTTTTTGGGAAGAAGCACATGGTAGAGCAGTATAGCTGATTGTTCACCCAAGTTTAGTTATGCGCTATTGACAAGCATGCAGTATTTCCTCGAGATCTGACTCAACAGCTACTTTGTCTTCAGAATATTTCACCAATATGTCCGCAATACAAATTTACGTAACGTTCCAGTTATGCATATGGCATTTCATGGCTTAGTCGCCGCAAGTGAATACTTTGTGGAAGAAATACCTCGAGATTTCCATTTTGCTAAGATGATACTTACATCATATGGGTGGGATCTTTCTTTCTTCGGAAGCTCAGTGTCCGAGAGTAATGGCTATCCTAGAATCGAAAGTGGTCGCTGCGAGCTCAGGTTGCACAGCCTGGCTTCACTGTACAGCCAAACATGGGGATAAAGCTTTAGGCCGTGACCGGTGCGCTGAAGGGCGCGTGCTTTCAACGATGATAAGGTACCATGTAGCACTGGGTACGAAATAGTAGCAGCGTGATGTAGCACAACATAACATAGCAACCCCACAATCGTACACTTCGACTACATGGCTCATGTTGATACCTTTAACTCGCGAGTTGAGCTGAATAGTTGTCAAGTTCAGGGGCGGATGGAACGGAGCAGTCATGCTAGACTCTTCCGGACGACTTCAGGGTTCAATGAGTTCAGTGCACCAATCACGGCTGCCTGAAAATGTTGTTTGTACAGCTTATGGATGGCAACTTGCTTGTCTGGTTCGCCCGATGATGATCTGGGCATGGCCAATGAAGAGAAAGGGCACAAGTCCAAAATCGCCACCGGTTGGAGCCGGACGGATCGGATGCTGCCACATCCCCCCATCCCTGCACCGGAAACCTGAACCTCCAATCGTGCATCCTTCCTGCCAACTTCACTGCCGTTTGGGTGTTTCAGACGAGTCTGGTTAAGGCCTCCAACCTATTGCACCCGAAGGAGACACAGGACGACAGTGACGAGAGTACCCACACCGGGCAAGCTAAGTCAACTCGTTCTTGCCACGTTGCTTGCATGCCGTGTGACTGCTGGAAACAGACCTGGGACTTTCCGAAAATTAGGGGTTCCTTATTTTGGGGTCCTCATAATAAGGATCCTACTGTTTAGGGTACTATATTAGGGTCCCCTATTTTCGGAAACCTCCACCTTGTAATGGAGCATCCGCAAAGCCATGTGGAAGGTCGGCCCTCACAGTTTCCTTTTTCATCTTCGCAAGAAAATTGCCCACCATCCCTTGCACCCTTGCACCCGTGCAAGGGCGGGTTCTTCAAGCGTTCTGCAAGGGCCTGGTTTGAAGAAGGAAAACTGTGCAAATCGGCACGAATTCCGGATACCGTCGTCGGTCAACCTGGTGCAAATTATCTGCGAAACTCTCCTTTCAATCTCACAAACCGATGCTAAGCACCATACAATCTGGGCTGGCGCTCTTTGTTCGGAGTTCCCTGAGTCTTCCAGCCGCCTGAGGCTCAGACCTAGCAGCTTTGAGCTCAGTGTCTTGTCTTGGAGACTCACGGCGCATTTCCAGTTAGTCCGTGTAGAATCCGTGTCTGGGCTCTGCCACCTTGTTTTTCATACTTTTGTGGATTCCTGTAACGCTGCTCTGCGCGCACCGATGTGTCTTCGTGCCTTGCATGCCATCTATGCCATCCTGCGCAACGGCCTCTGGGACGACCCAGCAGAGGCTGTCTCGGGTACCATCCACTCTCGCTTCAAGAAGGTGGGGCTTCTCTAAAGCACGGGAGCCTTATTTCAAAGTGCTTATAAGCAATTGTCCTGGAAGTCAGGGTCCAGAATAGGCTCCGTCTCGTCTGAAACTGCCAGGTAGCGGAGAGCAATGAGATCAACGAAGCTGCTCAGCTTCGACACCGGTTCTTGTAGAGATTCATTTTGCCCTGCCACCGCGTTTATTTCATTCGGTGAATGTTTGTTGTTTTTTTTGCGAATGTCTATGGGTACCGGTAAGTTAGGCTTGTGTTTGCGTCCTCCGTCGTGCACGCTGCATGTTGACACCCTTTGATGAAGTTCAGCTCGTCTCAGGATGGAGCCACCTACCTGACATGGCGCGCTGGCTGCAATACGTTCGTTGTTGCATAAGGCGTTCGCTTCAGCATGAGATTAGGATTCTTGGCCTTCTTGTGTGGCTCGACATCAGGCTCAGAAAAAAGGGTTCCGTCCTACATTGTGTAGCATGCCCAAAATGTCGTACAGAATGCGACTACGAGATGACAATGTCGGGCATGTCGATCGCGTCAGTTACCCATGTGTCGAATGTTGCATATTCTACACTATATAGCTGCAAAATGCTCTACGCATGCAATCAAAAGAGAGCACCATGGCCAGATAGGAAGCGCAACATGTCATTCAAAGTGCTGTGCACGAGTATGTTGGCGCTTGCTCTGCAGTGTGGAGGATGTGTGCATCTACATATAAGTACTGAACTTTGTGCGCATGTAATGTAGGTGTGCCTTCGATTGGTTGCGGCTCTGGGCCAAAAGCTGTCTATATGATGTAGGTTTGCTGCGAGCCGACGGATGTCATGGCAATGACACTTTGTTTATCCCCGCGCATGTGAAGATTTGTGTTGCCTTGGTGAGGAGATTCAGCTACCTGATCTGCCATGTTCTGTTCGCGGCAGTGTGGGGTGCTGCCAGCTACAAGGATTACATCCCGAGGAGGCCGGGTCGCACATGGGCGGGGCTACA